GAGGATGGAAAGGTAAGCTACAGAGTGGAAGAAAATATTTGCAACCAGCCTAGCTGACAGAAGATTCACAAGTAAAATATAGAAGGGGGCGCCTGGGTGGCTCAGTCGGTTGGGTGTCTGACTTCAGCTCAGGTCATGATCTGTGGTTCATGAGTTCAAGTCCCACATAGGGTTCTGTGCTGACAGCTCAGAGCCTGGAGCCTGTTTCACATTCTGTGTCTCCCTCTCTCTCTGCCCCTCCCCCACTTGCACTCTGTCTCTCTCTCTGTCTCTCTCAAAAGTAAATAAACGTTTGGGGTGCCTGGGTGACTCAGTCGGTTGAGCGTCTGACTTCAGCCCAGGTCATGAGCTTGCGGTTCGTGGGTTTGGGCCCTGCATCGGGCTCTGTGCTTACAGTTCAGAGCCTGGAGCCTGCTTCAGATCCTGTGTCTCCCTCTGTCTCTGCCCCTCCCCTGCTCATGTTTGTCTCTCTCTCTCTCTCTCTCTCTCTCTCTCAAAATAAAATAAAATAAAATAAAATAAAATAAAAATAAACATTAAAAAAAAACTTTAAGGGGCACGTGGGTGGCTCAATTAAGTGTTTGACTTAGGCTCAGGTCATGATCTCGCGGTTTGTGGGTTGGAGCCCTACAGTTCAGAGCCTGGAGCCTGCTTCGGGTTCTGTGTCTCCCTCTCTTTGTCCCTCCCCATCTTGTGCTCTCTCTCTCTCTCAAAAGAAAATGAATAAACATTAAAAGAAATTAAAATCCAAAAGATTTAAAAAATAATAAATAAATAAATAAAATTTAAAATACGTAAAGAACTCTCAAAACTCAACAGAAATAAAACAAAACCAAGAAGAAAAAGGAATAGACCTAAAGAAACACTTACTGAACAAGATATGCCAATGGCAAGTAAGATAATCTCGCTAGTCACTTAGAAAACGCAAACAAAGACCACAGTGAGCCGTCACCACACACATATTACAGCAACCAAAATAAAAACAGTGACAACAAATGTTGACATGGAGACACTGAATCTCGCACACACTGCTGGTGGGAATGTAAAATGGCACAACCAGTCTGGGAAATATAAATAGTCCAGCGGTTTCTTAGAAAACTAAACACACACCTAGGATGCAGCCCAGCAATTGTGCTCCTGCACGTTTATCCCAGAGAAATGAAAACACGTCCACACACAAAACACCTGCACTTGCTGGTTCACAGCAGCTTTATTGGTAACGTCCAAACACTTGAAACAATCTCAATGTTCTGCACAGCAAGTGGTCAAACATTCATCCATCCCATGGAATGCCAGCCGGCAATAAAAAGGAACACACCGTCGTCGATACACCCCACAACCTGAATGGATCTCAAGGGCACTGTGTTGACCGAACAGGCCAATCTCCAAAAATCACACACCGAATGGTTTCAGTTATACAACACTCTCAAAACTAAACGTACAGAGCTAGAGAACAGACTAGTGGTTGCCAGAGGCCAGGGACTGGGGCAGGGGAGGGAACAGGACCCCAGAAGGCAGCACACAGGAGACAGCTGTGGCGACGGGACAGGTCTGCGTCGTCACTGCCCTGGCGGCCTTGCGATCCCACACGTGTAGTACAGTGAGTGAAGTACACACGGGTACAGCGCAGCCAGCTTCCCGTCTGACGCCACACTACAGGGATGTGAGATGCAACCCCTGGGGGGACTGGGTGGGGGCGGGTGGGACCCTCTTTACTATCTTTGCAATTTACTGTGAAACTATCATTATTTCAAAAGAAAAGATTTTTTTTAATAAAACAAAGACAGAAAATTATACATGATACAAATACAAATAAAAGAAAGCTGGTACTGACAGAGGGAGAGAGGGAGGGAGGGAGGGAGGGAGGGAAAGAGACAAATCAAGAAACAGACTCTTAATAACAGAGAGTAATCTGATGGTCACCAGGGGTGGGGGTGGGGCATGAAACAGGGGATGCAGATTAAGGAGCGCACTTGTCACGATGAGCACAGGGGGATGTGTGGAACTGTTGAATTACCACATTGTACACCTGAAACGAATCTAACACTGTAAATTAGCTGGAATTAAAATTAAAAAATAAAACGAAAGATGGTATCATTGTACTGAAGTCAGACATACGCACGCACAGAAGAAATACCATCAGAGACAAAGACCAAACCGACGTAAGTTAGTGATCCCACGCTTGCATCACCTAATAGCATACTCTAAAATATACAAAGCAGAACTGACATCATTTAAAGCAGGAGACACACCCTCAACCACCCAAGCTTCTCGTAACTGATAAACGAGCAAACTTCGGGAATACAGAGGACTCAACCAAGACAATCAGCTCTTATAACTCACTGACATACAGAGCAACACACACAACAACTAAAAAAATGTGTATTATTTTTCAAATACACACAGAAAATTAACTAACGTTGTCCATATACGATGAATCATAAAGCAAGTTTCAACACATTACAAAGACTGAAATTAAAAAAATCATAAGTACGTTCTCCAGCCACAGTGGAATTAAGACAACAGTCAATTACAAAAAGATAATTAGGAAACTTCCCGACTGTTTGGAAATTAAGCAGAATGGTTCTAAATTGCATCGATGGAAGCAGAAATGACAATGAAAATCGTTATATATTTTTAACTAAATGATAATGAAAATACCATGTGTCAAAACTTAAATGCATTTATTTTTAAAACAGAAAAAACTGCAATGCTCATCTTAGGAAGCTAGAAAAAGAACAGCAAATTAAGCTCAAAGTATGAGAAAAAATGAAGGGACGACAGAAGTCAATGAAACAGGAAGCAAACACCCTACGTTCACAGTGTCTCTCCTACAGTGCTTCACAGAGAATATTTCACCTGAATCTAACAGCAAGGAAACCTCAGACAAACCCAAATTTGAAACATACAAAATACCTGATCTGCAGTCTCAAAAATATCAACACAATGAAAGACCAACAGCGAGGACGGTTCCGGATTAACGGACACTGCACAGACACGCCACCGAACAGCCACACCAGCCCAGAGAAGAAGTGCACGACGGAGGACAGGATGGGGACAGCAGACGGAAGGCACGGTACCAACACTACATCTGAACACGGCGACTGCATGACGGATGGAGGAAAATACCCTTCTCCTACGAAACGCACGATGAAGTACTCGGACGTAGAGAAAGGAATGTAGAAGCAACCCAGTCTGAATGACTCGGAAAATAACGGTAAGATGTGAAGAGAAAGGTAGAATAAACATGGCGGAAGCTTCAAAATTAGTGAACTTGGGCAAAAGGCATAGAGGAATTCTCTGTACAATTCTTGCAACTTTTCTAGAAGTTAGGATTTATTTCAAGATCAAAGTTTAAAATTTCAAAAGCAAAGATACCACCAGATGTTTGGCTCTTTGAAAAAAAGAAAACGGATAATCTTCTATCAAGATTACTAGGAAAAAGGGAGAGACAAATTGACAATATCATGAATTAAAAAAATGTGACATCCCTACAAAGCCTCATTCATCCTACATCACAGGAATTTATATATTTGAAAAAAGATAAATCCCTTGAAAAGCACAAAGCATCACAACTGACACGACAAAAACAAAACAAATCTGCACAGCTCTGCAACTGCTAAAGAAATTAACTCTAGAATTAGTAAGTGCCCACAGAGAACACTCTAGGAATACGGGCTATTTAACCTAGAAATTGTGACACAAGTCAGCGATTTCTAAAACCTTGCTTGGCCGTGAAATTCCTTCTTCATATGAAAAGCTTACAAGAGGTAAGAAAGAAAAAGACAGACACCAAGTGGAAGTGGAAAGGGGGGTGGATAAATAAGCCTAAATCCTGCCCGGGCTCACTTCCTGACTCGACACTGCCCACCTCTTTGAGGGACTCCTTGGAGTCCCTAGGAGCCCACGGAACACTGTTTGAAGACCGCTGCATGAGCTGACACTGAAATCAAATCAGGTGTAAAAACATCTTTCTGTAAGGGGCGTCTGGGTGGCTCAGTGGGTTGAGCGTCCGACTTCGGCTCAGGTCATGATCTCACGGCTTGTGAGCTCGAGCCCCGCCTCGGGCTCTGTGCTGACAGCTCAGAGCCTGGAGCATCTTCAGATTCTGTGTCTTCTCTCTTACTCTGTCCCTCCCCCACTCACACTGTCTCTGTCTCTCAAAAATAAACTTTAAAAAAAATTTTTTTTAAAAACATCTTTCTACAAACTTCTAATGGGATAAAGAGAATGATAAGTAAGATCTCTTTCTACAATTACGTATATTCTTTTTACGGGGAAAGGGACAGAAGTTCATGACCGTAAGAAAGGCTCCGACCACAAGCCTTGAACAGAAAGACTAGAAAAGCTGTAACTTCTTAGACACACTCTGCTCAAGTTATGTTGGCATTGGCCAGCCGTAATCTTGCCCTGCCAGTCCCCAGGGCTGGAGGACAGTCAGTGGCCTACACACAGAGTGTGGTTTCACACACCAGACTCTAAAGTCAAAGGTGAGCAGACTTAATGCAGTTTATGTCAACCACAAGTGAACCTGTTTAAAGTATAAGCAGTCCTTGCCTTCATCTCCTTCTGGTTAAATTAACAGAAGAATCTTACTCCAAGTCAAAGCATTCCAGTCAAATAACGCACACAGGCGGCTACGGTGTGAATACATTACATTTTACGGGCCCATATCCGCCTTTTTGGACACAGGATAACCACAGACGAAGACAAGGGAACTTAGCTGTAAATGCTGACATGGTAACCAGAACTGATTCTACCATGCATTAATTACAAAACCGCTCATTTTCTCCATCTTCTATGCATTAAAACGACCCTTAAAAAAAGTGAATTTGGCTTTCCGGCCCCCTCTGGTTCTAATGGCTATCACTCTCCATGACGTCATTTCGTTTAGACTGTCTTTAGTTTGATACGAAAATAAATGTTAGAAGCTAAGCTTTTAAATGTCTGAACTCTGTAACCCCGGTGCCCGGGACACTAGGCAGCAACAGATACCACACCTGGTACAGAGGAGCTTCCAGCCTCCACAGACAAACCGCTCCAGTCCTCTCCTTCGTCGCGCGGTCCTCGCTCGTGGTAGCGTGTGGTAATCGCTCTCGTCATTCTCGAAGCCTTCTTCAGACATCATGAGTGGCATTTCGTCCAGGTGGGCGGACTCATCTTCCAGCTGGTACCTGCTAAAAGGTAAGAGCAGAGTGCTGAGGCAGGTCTGGCAGGCTTCCGTCACGGTGAGGGGATCATGTAGGACCCGAGCCGGTCCAACTTTACTGACCACGCTTTTCTGTACTCCTCAAACTAAGCTGTCTGCAGCGCAGGCAAACCATTGTAAGTAACGGATGCGACTTTCCTTTGCAAAAATCTTACCTAGCCAGGGTAAGCAGAAACAGAAGAGGCTCCCCAAGGAAGCCGCCGTGACCGTGCTCTGAGGGGAGCCCCCCACGGTCATCAGGGTGAACGGTCAGCTCGACGGTACCACCCACTCACAGTGTTCAATTCAGGAATATAAAAAAGTCCATCATCTAAAATACTACTACTAGCAAAAAATGCGTATGTCCGGGTCACATCTCCATACTGTTCCAGACTGAAAGGATATAAAATTTGACCAACTTTACACTCATCAATCAAAGTCATGGAAGTGACTTTTGACCTACGCAGGTGTCTTATGGTCAAGGCAGGAACCTGGTGCCCCTGGTTTGTTGTCAGACTTGACACACACAGCAAGAATACTATGTCCCACTTATACTTATTCTGTCTCTCTTATTCTCTTTTCTAAAACTTTCTATTCAGTTAAATTTCCTCCCTAGCCAGCATCCCTTTCAGAGTCCAACAATCCTCTTCTGATTCCAAAAACAGGCAGCCTACTGTCAAAGGTCCATTTTATCTTTCCTAAATCACGGACACATTTGTCTTTAACAAATAAAAGCTTACCTTGAGAACCAACAATGTGTTAGAAAGTGTAACTCAGAGTCAACAAATGCTATCTTATTTAATGTTACGTCAAGCCTTCTTGGTAGGCGTTACCCCAATTTCAAAAATAAGAGAGCAGACTTCTGTGTTCCTGTGAGATAATGGCAGTTGCTGAAACTGAAAAAGTCCACAGACTTTACAGAAGACAAATAAAACGAACCCAAACCCACAACCACGGCCTAAGTGAGGGCCAGACGATACTACAATCTACTTAAAGACAACAGCAAACCTGTAAGAGGACGAAGGCAAAGAAAATCAGACAAAGCGTATCACAACCAAACTACTCAAAGCAAAGATAAAGGAAAAATTCTTGGAAGCAGCCAGAGAAAAAGGGCTCATTACATCTAGAAGAACATCAGCTCCAACACCCACGAACATCTCGTGGAGACAGACGGAGGCCAGGACTCCACGTCTAAGTGTTGAAACAGAAGCAGGCTCAACCCAGAATTCTACCTCCAGCAAAAAGATCCTCCAGGAACGAAGGCAAAACAAAAACATTCTCAGATGAAGGATAAAACTCGGAGGATTCGTCACCATCACACCTAGGACAAAAGAACGCTGAAGAAAGTTTCAAGATAAGAAAATGATACAAACAGGAAACTTACAATTTCGAGAATGAAAAGCAACACAAAATTCTTTAAAACGTGTATGATGATGGGAAATGACAGTTATAACATCATCCGGTGAAGGCTTCAGCATAAAATATGTGAACAGACATCACAGTCATACTGTAAGAAGTGGGCAGTTCCACAGTCTCCATTAAGTGTAAAATACTAACAGTGAAAAGTCAGCTATGTACACTGCAATCCGTACAGTGGGACTTCTCAACAGCAGTACCATTAACATTCGGGGTCATAGAATTCTCTGCTGATAGAACGGTCATGTGCACTGTGGAATGTTCAACAGCCTCCGTGGACTCTACGCATTTGATGCCCGTGGGAGCACCCCCCTAGTCGCAACAATAAAAAGGTCTCCAGACGTTGCCAAATGTTGCCTGGAAGACAAAAATCACTATCTACAAAATAATAATAAAACATTTTATTTTATTTTTTTAATGTTCACCGCAAGAGAATAGCTGCTTACTTTATTATTCCTTTATCGAAGTAGCTTAACAAAATCCACCTATAATTTAAAATTATACCACAATGTTTTTCTCTGTGATTTCCAATTTCGTATTGGATGTGCTGATGTGTATAATTTTTTAGTTCATTTTGTAAATTTACATCCAAGTTAGCATAGAATGCAACCATGATTTCAGTAGTAGATTCCTTAATGCCCCTTACCCGTTTAGCCCATCCACCTCCACAACCCCTCCAGTAACCTGTTTGTTCTCCATATTTAAGAGTCTCTTATATTTTGTCCCTGTTTTTATATCATTTTTGCTTCCCTTCCCTTATGTTCATCTGTCTCTTAAGGTCCTCATATGAGTGAAGTCATATGATATTTGTCTTTCTCTGACTAATTTCACTTAGCATAACACCCTCTAGTTCCATCCACGTAGTTGCAAATGGCAAGATTTCATTCTTTTTGACTGCCAAGTAATACTCCAGTGTGTGTGTGTGTGTGTGTGTGTGTGTGTGTGTGTG